TTTAATGATACTGATGATCTTGTATATGTTTTTTTTATAATCAATTAGTAAAGACACAAAAATTTTGCCAATAAAAGCCACATATAACATTCAACAGAGTTACAATTTAGGATACAACTTCCTTGTTTTCTCTTTTAATAGCCTAATGCAAAAAAACTTGGAAAATTATTTTTCCAACAGAAATAAATATAGTCAAAGTGCAAACTTTAAACCCTCATAACTTCGAAATTTTTATTGATATAAAAAAAAAATTAATATTTTTTTCATGTTCCTGGTATCTTACTTTATATGACATTTTTCTCTGGGGCGCGAGTTCTGGCGCACCTTGTATAGCAGGTTTTCCAAAATCAACGACTGTATATCGTAACAAAAGTTATTAATTTGATATTTGATACCTCGCCGGGCGTATTAAAAACTGTGGTCTGTTCACATCACACTCTTATCATCGCTAACTATGACGCCAAATTTAAGTAAACACCAATTAGTCATAGATAAAAATAAACAATACAATCAAAAGGTGCTTGCTTCTAATACCATAAATCTTTTATTGGTGTCTTAATGACAATATGTAACTTCAATTATGGTTACAAACAAGTGTTTTAACGTTTTCCGATATATCTTATTTTAAAAAAAAATACATTTCAATTGTAACAAGAAAAATTTGCAACTTTATTAATCGTACAAACAACTAATTTTTTAACATTTATTATATTTATATAAAATAGACATTCACAGATTGTATAGATATGAATAATTTTTATCTTACAGGTTGAGTTTTAGAGCTACCTTAGACCATTGTTTTCGGTGATAGAAATCAAATATTATAAAGTACTCACAAGAGAGTAAATTTGACTATTATATTATATTTACTATTATATTTTTATAGGTGAATATTTTATTTTTTAGATAGTTGCACCTGTAAGATAAAACGTCGTATATCACACGTGATCGAAATGCCATTATGAAACTCGTGAGAAGTGTCAAAATTCTCACTCGCGTATAATGATGCATTTCTATCACTTATAACATAATGTACTATTATCACATTAACAATTAAAAAAACATTTTTTAGTAGTACTTTTGTCCACTTAGATAGAAGAAAATACACAGGCATATACACGACAGTTTAGAACGTCCCTGAATAAACATTTCGACATTTTATTTTTGAAATCGTTTATGTGTATAAAGGTAATTAACTGTACCAAATTTTGTAATTTTATCTAAAATGGTTTCTGAAATATTGGACAAAATCCATTAAAACTTGCACCCATTTTAAGGGATACTGTAGCTTCGTTACAGAGTATTTTTTGATACATGTTCATGGAATACTTTTAACTTAAAATTGAATATTCTATTACATGTTTAAATTTGTAACAATAAAAACGGATTAGTCTGTAGAAGTACTTGTATATTCAGAAAATATTTTTTGTAAATTCGAATAAATATTTACTTTGAGAAAAAAACTATGCATAATGCTATATAAAACCTATATGACAGAAAAATAACCTTATTGTTGATAATTTGTCTAGACAATTAGTATGAGTTACGAGTTTTGTCACTACATCTTTATACTAGATCTTGGAATATTAAATAATAGCTTATTTGTTTGTCAAATTTTGTTGCATTTTAAACCTCATTATTGTTTTTAATCGTTAATTTTTTAGAACATGACTAAATTTGCTGCAAATATTTCAAAAAAATTTAAATCCGGCGCATCCGCCATTTTAGCGTTTTCTTAAATACATACATATTATGTTAACTAAAAAAATGGTTAATAAGACAAACTTAACTATAAAATTACCTTCTAATCTGTTAAATATTCAATAAAGTACACTTATATGCGTACTTGGTTAAAATTTATTTAAAAATTTACGATTTATAGTAATTTAATTTTGTAGCACAAAACACAAAATTAAAAAAGCTTTAAAACACACCGTAAAATTTTCACCTTTGTTATTTTTGCTTTAACTTGTACTCGATAATAGAATAAAACAGTAAATTACTTCAATTCATTTCTAGACTGTTGTTTAACCAAAATGTGGCAAGTCTGAATAACGTGTTGCGGTGGAAGGAAGGTATTAAGTTTCCGAGGGAAAAGGAGTCAAAAGAAAGATCAATATTTCCAAATATTGGTCCTGAGAGACAAATAAATTGTTGGTAATGTTTAACTTGGATTTTCCGACCGGATAATTTCTAGGTTTATAATCGAAGGGTTGGTGGAAAATGTCGTTAAAACTTTAAGAAAGGAAGAAAAAATAAATTGTTTTATTGACTCGCACATTTCGTTATGGCACTAATGACAATAATGTAACGTTTTTAAATTTTAGTAAGGTAAATTCCATTTCAGAACAGATGTTGTTTTTTAAATTTGATTTGTTTTATGTCTCACTGAAAAGAATATAAAGATGAATAACATGTAAAAGTAGATTTTTATGTTTTTTTTTCTCTACATTGAGTCGTAAAATTTATAACAAAAACACTGAACCGTCCAGACGCGATTTCATTGTTGAATGCTTGTGTTACATTTAGAAATCGTTTTTGTATCAATATTAATTTTTGTTCATTTACAAAACGAGTTACTGCATCAAAAATTTTGCAAAAAGTGAATGCATAATAAAACAGCGTTTTCGGAACTGCAAAATATTTTGCGTCGAGAATCATTTTAAATATCGTTGGCCCGTTAAATCCAGAGAGCTTTTACATGTTAACACCGGATATATGTATTTGTGTCCATCGCTACTACACTTTTTTATTCCATCCATTTGAAATTCCACAACTTTTCGCATATAGCTAGTTCATTACGGTTTTATTACAATTATTAGTACACGAATTGTGGCACAGTTTTCAGCAAAAAACATTTCAATGTTCCATTTCTTAAATTTCCTTTTTCCAACTTTTCAGAAAGGTTCATATTTTATTCCGCGCATTCTGAAAAAGTAACAATATATTTTTGCACATATTGCGTATGAAGGAATTCCGCATTTTGTGCGTCGAGGAACGACTACAACTTTGTTTTCGGATTGTGCTAAAAATATTTCGCTGGAAAACTGCACTTATACACAAAACAAAAAATACAATAAGCGATTTAAGACAGTTGTAAAACAAAGACGAATTCAGATATGAGGATATTTTGAACTCCTCTCGACTTACTCTTGTCTCCCCTATGGGTCTCTACAGTGTTCGTGCAAATATGGGAATATCCAGTGGTGATATTTGAATGTATACGATAACAATGAGTCTAGCTTGACATTTCACCTTTGCCAGCGGCGACCCCCATGGGTCATACAAGGAGCTTTTACAGATGACAATTATTAAACCGTCTCCGTATAAAAAAAAATTCTCTGAGCTTTGTCAAATATTTGTACGAGTACGTATATCCGAACAATGGAAACGCTTGTCGGAGACAATCCCAAATTGGGACAAAAAACTCGACCCTGTGTGGGATTTCAACAGAAGAGATGCAACAGCTGCTTAAATTAAAGACGAAATTTATGAATTTTATTCCCCAAATCTTCGAACTTTTACAACACTTATGAAAAAACTTACAAGCAGACAAAAGACATTTAAACTTTTCCAAGAAAAATGGATTTTTACACTCAAAGCTTTTTGTAGTTGGGCTAATGGAAATAATCTATTACATAATTTTGGTCACATTACGTCATCCTTGAGACTAAAATGACTGATACTATAAGTGCGTTAACAAATTATAGCAAATTGTGAAACATATTTCTTTTTAAATACAACATTTACATACAATAAAAGTAGTAGTTTATGTATTAACTTAATACTTAATACTATTAAGGGCATAATTAAGAAAATAGCGACATTTAGCTGTTCCCGATGAGAGAAGATCTAATTTAAACACAAATAAGCCAAATATTATTGTACAAATAAATTTCTTATATTAAAATCACAGTTGTGTAAAATATAAGAGTAAACAAAAATTAAACAAAATTTTTAAATTTATACCAGAGTAATCAAATGTTTATTGACATGATTGATAATTTTTATAAAATATGAAATACATGTATCTGTTACCGATCAGGTGATTGTACATTCACTGGTGCATGTCGACATACACCAACACTGAATAGCAATTGCATGTCAACACCTACTGATGAATATTGAGAATCACCTGATTTCGTTCATTCACTAGTTTATTTTCGAGCAAATGAGTTGAGTTTTTTGAACAATGTTTGTGTTGTTCTTATCAATGGTAACAAATAGTCGAAATTATATACGGGGTGTTCAAAAAATCCTTGAAAGGGAGTAATTGGATAGTCCCCCAGAGGACTGGAAAAATTCTTAAAAAATTATATCTATCAAAAAATTGACATTTGACATTTTTTTAAGTCTATTTAATGATACTGATAATCTTGTATATGCTTTTTTATAATTATTTACTAAAGGTACAAAAATTTTGTTAATAAAAGCCACAAATAACACTAAACAGAATTACAATTTAGAATACAGCTTCTTCTAATAGCTTGTAGCAAAAAAAAAACTTGGAAAATTATTTTTCCAACAGAAATAAATAGAGTCATAGTGCAAAATTTAAACTCTCACAACTTCGGAATAGAGATAGATTTTTGTAACATTTTTTTTGTTGTCTAGGGTACCGCGCGATGGCACAATGTCACGGAAGTGCGCGATTTTTTGAACACCTAGTTGAATAAGTTGTACTGAGCCTAGGCAAGCAATCTCAATAGTTTTGTTTACCCATACATATAAAATTCTTAAACAATTTGTCACTGTTTTAATACATTTTCACTATTACGGTCGGCGCTTTGCTATTAAAGTCGTTTTATCTCCGAAAGAAAACATAAAACGTTTAAATTTACCACATTTTGTGCTATTCAAAAATGAGTTTTTGTGTTTGAAAAATTTTGTTGGAAGAATTTTTTTTGTGATATTTCTTGGTGTTTGAATAGGGTTTGTTTCGTGCTGGCGGTTCGGCTACTGAAGTAAAATATCTCTTGATATTTATTTTTATTTCCTACCTGTATTTGTATAAAGCAGAATAAATCTCTTTCCCATTATGCAAGTTTCGGCTCTGTTGAACAATCTGGTTCTTCGAAGATATGAGGCATTGTCGGCGCAACTTACTTCGAGTAGTCACTGAAATCAAAAGGCCGAGGTCTTAGCATACTTCGCTGCACAACAATGCAAACGAAGGGTTATAATGTCATAGGAACAAGGAATTTCTCTAAAATTTCAGAAATGCTTCTCTATCAGCAAATTTAATTTTCCTTATGAACACGCCGGTTTTCATTTCAATTACATATAATAAAACTTTCTGCAATCGATTCTCAAACAGAAATTAATTATGGCAAAAATAGAATTAGAGGTTTTATTGAGCAAACACATTCAAGGAACCATTATTGCTCAAAGAACCCGCTCCGCCTCTCCTTGAACGAATCAATCGTTATAAAACCAATTTAAAATATAAAAAACACACAAGATGGGGAAAATCTGAGTCAAAATTAGGCGAAATCCCGGGTACAGGCACGAACTGCCTCCTTCAGATAGTCTTGTCTTTTCAATCAAGTTCGCGGCAGAACGGGGCTCCAATAAATTTTAAATGGCATGTAATGTGAGAATCATAAAATATTGCTCAAAAGCAAGATCATTAAAGTTTCACGCTCAAGAGCTTTAGGTAGAAATCTATTATATTTATATGTTATAAACTCCTCTCCTGTAGCCTTGACACCGTCCCAGGAACAAAACGAGAAATGGCCGACAAATGACATCCTGTTATTCTCACGGCTTGCTTTTTAAAGAAATGAAACAAGTTAAGACATAATGAGCAATTAATAAATTTTACAAGAATTTCTGACACTTTCATTTAAAAATTCTCCAACGAAAACGAGAGTTTAAAATATTTTTTTTATCAAACCAAATAAAAAATACAAAACACATGTTTTATTTTTATTTAACATGTTTCAAATTAAAAAAACATCGTTTGAAAACAATTAAATTATTACCACAAAATATGTAACAGTTTACTGAATGATTTTCCCAATCACTTACAATGCAAAGTTATTCCAAATACCTACTCGTATGTACAATTTTGATCTGCACATTTCATTCAATTGAAAAACTAATTTTTTTTCAAATATCTAATTTATAAGTTTAGAAAAAATCTAAACAACATTGGATTGTACCCAGACCACAAATAAACAGCGAGAATTTAATAATTATTCTGTTTACTTAAGTAAATTTATTCATTCCACCATTACAAAAACATCTATATTCACTGTTTTCAATCCTCTATGTTCGAGAATTTCGTCTGTAAACATCATTGTTTCAATTTTCCATCCTTTAAATATGGCTGCTTTCCCCTATCAAAAACCTTACCCATAAAATATTGTTTTGAGATTTATTCAAAACTGTTCCGTTCTAAGATGGTACTTTAAAGTGATTATTTCTAAACTTTTGTTTCAGTTTCTTGTTCCAAAGAGAAATGTGAATGCATTTACTGTAAAGTAGCACAAAATATCCTTAAGGATATTTTATTGCTGGTAACCCCTTATTCGCCTCCAGTAATATTTTTTCTCGTAAAACAACATTAACGTCTATTAACACGTCATTTCCTCTACCTTTCAGAGTTTCTGTGCATGATAAAGCACATAAAAATCTCAAATGCAATTTTTACAGATATATACATATTTCATAAATTTGAAAAAGAATAATATTGCTGAAAATTTTAGTTTGTATCTTGAAGTGCATACATATTTAAAGTTAGGAAATAGAGGGAAAAGATTTTTGTAAATTCTGCGAGATGGATTTGGATTTGAAAATTTTATGGAGAAACTTTTCGTATGTCTGATATTTATTCCACCGTTTTGTGGATTCAAATTTCAAATTTTTCAATCATATATTTAAATTTTGATTTTCATTTTTTAACAAGCTTTTAATGAAATTGCTATTTTACACACAGTAATACAGAAAACATTGTTGAATTTGGAACAACAATAGAATAATTTGAACTAATTTGTAATAAATTTTTCAAGCAATTCAAAAGTTATTACTATACATTAGTACCTACGTATTGATTTATTGGAATATGTTATTACACCAGGTGGCAGGTGACATAAATTTGAATTTGAGTAAATAAGAATAACATTATATTTGTGCTATCATTGAAAAAATTAACTACAAAAAATACCTTAAAGTCAATTTGTAGGTATTACAACAACAGTTTGTAAAGAATTACAAGAGATAATGAATTTTCTTTCCACAGCCGTTCTGCTTTTCCGAACGATTTAATCAGCGATTTTACAAAGGTCACCCCTGAAATATTTACTAGCTTCAGCTAAATTATTAACTCAAACCGCTGACTACAATCTTTCCAAATCGCACACTATAATAATCGGCGCTGTAATTATTTCAGCCCTGAAAGAGGGTAAAAGAAGAATCTGTAATAATTGGTATATCAAATAATCAATAAAGCAACACGTTTTCCGAATTGGGGAGTAAGATTCGGTCATTATTGAAACACCGAAAATCGACCAGTGGAACCGAAATGAAACCTTTATATTACCTCATAATGAAAAAATTTCTTCCCTGGCGGCCTGAAAATTATTATTCACAATTTGCAATCTCGGATTAACTTGGAATTCATTTTGATGCGGCAATAGATTTCAGTTTACTAATTTCCTGTGTGTACTGGTGTAAAAATTCAAACTGTTTTTTCAGGAAATTTCCAATTAATATGAATGATAGCTGTTAAAAACTTAACGCCTATTTAAAACAAGTTGACGACTTGCAGTATGTAATAAAATCAAGCAAAAGCGTTCAAAGCCGTAGAAAATTTCAGAACTTTTGATTTTGAAGTAGTTGTGAACTCAAGTGATAAAACGCACTAATAAAAAAGTTTTCAACTGCACTTTGGTTATTGATAAATTTGTTACCAGAATTTTTAGGTTTTTCTTAAAAAACGCTATAGTGGTTGTTAAAGTCTTTCAATCTTTTGAATCAAACAATAAAGAAAAAATTCCTTGTTTCGTGATTTCACAGAGACCTCCCTGCGGATTTAATATACCGAATTCAATTTAAATTTCCTATCCAATTTCCGGAATATTCGGCAAAGAATATTTAACAAAAATACTGATCTTCTGACGACAAACTTTAATTTAAAATTATAATTAAAAGAAAAAACAAAAAGTGATAATTTTCAGGTTCGTGTTTTCGCAATTATTTTATAAACCCCGTGTAACTTTTCTAACTTCGATTAAGAATAATTTATATAATTTGGTTGTCAATTACTGGTAAAAACCATTTGCGTAACCACAACTTACAAGCCAATAAATTTCTCTTTATCGTTTACAGGCCACGTTGATTGTTGTAATTACAACGGGAAACTTATCGAGAAAAGTGAGTGTTTTCGCTGAGCAAGCGAAGTTAAAATGACACAAAATTGCGTTTTGCCCTCTTATCGATCTATTGTTCTAGTTTAAAGTTGATAATTAAGTAAACCGTATATCCACCGAAAACAGCAAAATCTCATCTATTTTACATTAATTTTAAATCTATTAACGTTGTGTCACAAAACTCGAATGCACATTATCCCAAAAGGCATGTGTGCGCTTATTTATCATTCGAATTTGGGAATGTCGAGTCTGTATAAAGTGGAAATACTCGTATCTGGGCGTGTGGTTCTATCATCGTTTAGAATTCCAAAAAGATAAGGTTGAAATTTCGACAATTGTCTCTTTTTGGAGGCAACAAACAGCATTTTTCTTGCTTAAATCATTCGATAAAAAACAATTTTAAACTTTTAGAAAAAATATTTATTATTGGTTTCCGGTCCATTGCCTTTTGCTCGATTTTCGAACAATAGTGAAAGCAATTGGCGATCAGACATACAAAAGCATCAAAAGTTTATTTCCGAACTATTGACGTTTAGCGAAACATGTAAATGGATTTCAATCGCGCAAAAATTTACATATTTTCTGTGTGGCGAAAGTGATTTAGATTAAGATTCTTTTATTGATTTTTTCCAGAAATATTTATATTAAATTCAAATTGGTAGAAAAAAAATCAAATTAAATATCAAATACCAAAATTTTATTTTCAGTATTTTGAAAACTAGTCATTTGTTTTGATTTTAAAATTAACAAAAATTACAAATTTTCAATATCTAAGTTTTTAATATACTCATACAAAAGCGACCGTTTTTAATGGTTTAGCTAGTCACGTCTACTCATTGAAATAACTTTTTATTTTCTAATTCTGAAACTTGTTTTTATCGAATTAAATTGCTCAATTTTGTACAAGCCATCAGAACTTTATTATCTCTAATTAAAATACAAGTTATTTAAAAATTCTTGACAATTTCGTGCCAGCTCAACTGAATAAATTTGTAAACAAGCGCCATGAATTTCCATAAATTAATCATATCCCAATGGAGAAGCTTAATCAGGAATGATCGCTAAAATTTGCATTAGTATAACCTTGTTGTGATTGCAAAATTTCCCGCTAGAGTAGTCAGGTCAGGTCAGTGTAATAAAAAGTTCTAACTATGCACAAGATTTTTATTTTAAATAACGTTCTCTGATCGATTAAAAAAACACTTGCTTTTTGAATTGATTTCCATTCCATGTTCTAACAGATGAGAAAAACTTTCCAAGCGTCTATTTTTACATAATCGAGTTAATCACTTGTAAGTTTGCCTTGTAAATGTTTAATTAACAATTATGTGTTTTTTTATCCAGTCGTCTAAAGTTTCGTGAAAAGTTGAAATGGATGATAATAAATCGCATTAGAGGAATTAATTATTTATCTGATGTGTCTGGGTTGCATTATCTAAGTAGTTAATTTCAGATTAGATCAAAGTAATCATCTTGAAATTTAGGATTATAATTTTCAGGACAAATACTTTTGTTGAGTAGTTTGGAAAATGGGTATTTTCGAGAAAAATTATTTATTATTTTTTAAATGTATACATCTATTGGAAACATTTTAAGCAATTATTAAGTCACTTTAAATTAATGTAAGCATAGTGTATTGATTTCATGTTGGGAAATGTAATTAATTTAGGTTTATAGGTAGTGAGAATGACAGAAAAGTGTCAATTAAATTTTCTAATTAATTCTGTATTTAATAGAGAAATAACTAACAAATTATAAAATGTATACAGAAATTTTCAATTAATTTTACCTCATTATTTACATAAATAACAATAGCATTATTATTTTGACAAATAAAAAACTTATAGAAAAACAAAACTATTAAAGCTAAAAAATAATGATGTTTTCGCAAAAAATTGTGATTTCATCAAATGTGATTTTGGATGAAATGATTTGCAGGAAATTCATGCATAGAATCGATCATGTAGAACCCTTATCATATGCCACGTATATCCCAATTCCTAGATGACAAGTTATGCTGGAATATGTTTATTTCAATTTTTGTAATCTGGAGAATATATTTTTATTTCTACCTTATCCCCAATACCTTTTTTATTATTTTATTATTACTATTATTTACACAGATTAAGTTGTAATCGTATAACATATGTTTTAATTTTCTATCCATTGCTCCCCTTTATTCTAGACATTCCTGAAGGCATAATTTTAAAGTATGAAGATTGCTAGGTACAAATGTAAATTAAAGTATGGTTTTTTAACTCTGAGAACAATTTAATGAAACGTTTTTGTAAGTTGCAATAAATGCATTTTCTAACAAATTAAACAAATAATAAGCCTCCAAAAGTTAAATCTAGTCAAATCTAAAGCAAGACCGAAAGCCATTAAATCACCAGTTGTAACTCTCATTCAACACTATTGCAAACTATTCCAATCAGGCAAGGCTTTTTGTAATAATTCAGGGGAAATTCGTCAAGCTGATTCAAGTAGACAAACTGGTCCGAATACAAATACCTAAATCAATATATTTGGTTCTTAAATTTAATTTTGGGTATAAAAATTTTATAAATCACGTGAACGCTATAATTTTCGAAATGACTGTTATGTCAACATATTCTTAGGAAGTTTTATTAGACACCATATTGATAGTTTGTTTCAGTTGGGAAGAGAAAAGACAGGAATGATAAATTTGAGTCATCAGCAGATTTTATCACACAAATAATAAAAAAATGAGAAAATTTTCCCGTTTGGGCAAACATGACAAGTTTATCGATCATAACTCTAGGCCTCTATAAATAACAATTAATCGACTGATGTCTGAATATTTAGCACCCTTCAGTCAGTCATCTTCCAACTTTATGATTGATTCAAGTCCGAACTAACGCCAAAGAAAGTATACTATTCATAAAAAAGTCGTAAATATTCATGAAGATCCATAATTAGTAACGGTGCAATTTCCATAATTCCGTAAAAAAATGAGCATGACAAGCCGCATCAAAATAAGCCTACAATTACTTGATTTCGGTCGAATGAACTGATTACCCTTTTGTTACGCGGAAAATAGCCATTCATCATCTTTGATTAACTCTAGGCTTCATGCGAGTTTCACATTTGACTTAGTTTGGTAACAATTTCATCAACGCTGCGACCTTCCTCGCAGGCTTAAAATTTCAGCAGTGAAAAGCTATCAGCGCAACGAAATTGCTTGACAACTTACAGGCTTTGCCGGGTTTCAACACTCGCTCACTAAAACTGAAAAATCCTGAAAGTCACTCGTACGAGTTAAGCTCCGGTCGGCGACTGTGACGAGCATTCGTCGCTGCAAGTTACCGAGCGCACTGCGATTTCAGGACTTTCGAAAGCACATGATAAAAGACAGGTGAAATACGGAGGGTTAGGAGCATGCGCTCGCGAGCCAAAATCACCAAGCACAACATATTGCCGAGTGGAGCGGTTGTTTTCTTTTTCATTCGCGTGCCAACCTGGTAAACATCGGACTCCGATTTTATGAAATGAAAGAGTTGGACGTGACAAATGCGCCAAGGATGCGTACGAGGCAAACAGGCAAAAACGAAGCCATTTAAAGAGAGGAAAAACTGAGGTTCGGCCAGACAGCTCGCGGGAAGAGGACCTAGGAGACGGATTAATTTGGGTTGGACGAACTGGATGGGCTTTTAAAGTGGATATGGGCATAGGAGGACAGACAAGAAGGATTAATTATCCTGAAAAGAGCTTTCAAAAACTTTTCAGGAGTTTCTGGAACACAAAGATTTTTAACACTTAAATCTATTGTTTTTTTGGATATAGCAGAATAAAACTTTTGTTCAAGTGCACTTGTAAAAAACATAACTTTTTGATTTGATTAAATCGAAGACTTTAGCCTTCTTGTGTGGCCTAAAAATTAAAATCCTAATTTCAAATCGTGTCTGATTCAATTTTTACCACAATATACCTACAATATTTCAGAAGTAACTCCACTTGTAAATCAAATCTTTTGTTCTTTTTTTCAGCCAAATCTATGACAGTACAAATCTTATCACAAGAACTTGAGAAAGAAAGTCGCAAACTTACACTTCGTGAACATTTCGGTTACCTCCAATAAAATCTGCGTCTCTCAAACTGTATTGACAGTAAAATTTTTCAAGCATCCTTTATTTAAGGGGTGAGTAGTTACGAGTCTCGCCCTAGTTTATGCGGAAATCCTGTATGTAGCCGTCATTCATTGATTTTCCGTAAGATGTCGAACACGCAACAATTTCATGTTGATTTCCATTACAACCTCTCCGAATTGAAAAAAATATGATTTGCTCGAAAAGTCGTGACGAATGGACATAATCGCGCTCGTAAATAATTCGTCGGCTTTACACAGCACAAATCAGAAAAAGAGCTCCTATTGTGCTCATATAGCTCTATCAGGGTGGCAGCACTGTCCGTGAAACATTGCGTGTGACCAAAAATAATATGGATTAGCCAAGGGGAAAATTGGCTCAGCAGTCTCGCAATTACGTAGTGGAATTTTGACATATTTAATGGTTTTACATATGCAGATTTTCCGCTAGAAGCAGACGAACACCTTTAATGTAAATGAAAATTTGATTATCAGCAGAATTTAGCAGCTTGAAGCGGTAGGGCAAAGGGTAAATGCTCCTATTGTGTTTATCTCGACGCACAAGAGCACGAAATGAACGTTCACTCCTCTCGCGCCCTATCGTTTACAAATATTTTTATTCTTAAAAAAACAACAAAAGCACCGAAGTTAATATTGTGGCACTAAACACCAAAGCATTAAGATAAACTAATTGGTAATTTCAAATGCAATTATTAGAAACGAGAATGTTCAAATTAAAAACATAATTGCACTTAGACAATAAAGGGTTTGTGTTGTGCAACAAAATAGCATTTCCGTTACACGGTTTACTTTTATTTTAACTAAAGTGAAGCCAAACTGAATCGCCATCTCATACACTTTGATACTGACAAATAATGTAATATGACATGTAATGTAATGTAATATGCTTTAACTTAATTCTATGGCTTTTGCTGTGCAACGTAAATCTTTGTTTTACTTTATTGGAAACTTCAGTTCGTAATTTGCAATAAAGAGCTTACTTTAGAGAAAGACAATCATTTAGCTTAAAAGAAACGCAAAGGTAGCATTTTTATATTAAATGGTTTTAGTTCAAACCAATATTTGAAAATAAAAATTAGTTTCAAACAGAGTAAGTAAACTTTACTTAATTAAAAGAGTTAAACAATCCACCAGTGGACAAAAATTATAATGGCAAATATTATTAAATAAATAAAAAGTGACAAATAGTATAACTGAGGTGTATAAAATTTTTGCTACAATTTCATTTGTAAAATGTGTAAATAAAATTAATCGCTATAGGTACTATCAGAATTATTAATATTGCGAGCATGCGACAATTGTTTTTCGTTTACAATTTTATTACAGTTGAATTAATTTTCAACATTTAGTACTTTACAGGACTGTACTAATAAAATCGTTTTATTGAAGAACGCTTTTATATTAACTGTAAAATTTTAATGTCATTTGTTAAGCCCTGTATAAAACATTGATATGGATTGTAAATTAAATATAGCAAATGTAGGTGACAAAATTTTTATTACAGTTTAATGTCGTTTAAAAAAAAGTGTGAAATTGAATGAAGCAAATATATGATTTTAGTAAGGGAAATTTTTACGTTCACACTAAATGTGATGAATTGCTATTGATAAGTTATGACACTGCTATTATATATAATTAAACAGTCATTATCTTGTAAGACAAAGCTCTGCAAAATTTGTTACAATGTCTCAAAATAATTTTTTAAAATATCGAGCTTGACAAAGAGGTACTTTGTATCTAATTCCGAGAAAAATTGAACCCATAAATTGTCTCACCGACGTCAAAATTGTTTTGGCTTGACGCAGCTTTAAACTTATTAAGCAGTTTGATGAGGTTTGCAGCTAAAAATGCCAAACTTTTCAAATTTATCCTAAAGAAAGACCAGTGAAACATAAACATAAAATATGGCCCGCGAATAAAAGAGTTTAAAATACTTTTTACACGCGTTTTACATAAGTTACTCGTAACTTTGTAAAATGTTTGTTTAATGTAGCAATATCATATTTTTGCCAAGGTTTAAAGACCATTGTTATCTAATGTTATAATTTATAATCTAAAATGTGACAGTGATTTTGTTTGTGTGTTAATGTAATTTATAAGTTTTCATACTACTAATTTGTTCGAAAAACATCTTTCGATCAATTAAAAATCGCACAAATTGAGCGAAAAATAACAAATTAACATGTATGAGGTAATTTTGTCTCATCCAAAGCCGCTTGTTATTTGTGAAATTACTTTCGACGCATATTCACCGTGAAATGCGGGCGTTTCTCTAATAATTAACTAGATAATTCCGGTGTGAAGTGCTGTCCTCACTCTATTACAACAGATGAACTCTCTTGACCACTCCATTTGATTGCAGAGCGGACTTGTTTTGCATTTTCATCAAGCACTTGATCTGTGTACAATGTGAATGCTTAACCGCACATATTTATAAATTTTGTATAACTTCAGACTTGAGCGTCAACAAACTTTATTAAAATTAATTTTACGCCGTTACTAGTTTGTAATTGGAATGACTAAATTTCCCACCAAGTTTCACAATGAGGGTTGCCTGATTTTCTACAACGAGCAAAACCTACCATTTTAGTATTTAGATTATAAATTGAATTAAAAATTTAAAAGCGAATATCTAAATTGCAAGCGAAAGCGGCGTTAATAATATGTTTAGAAAAATACTCGGAAAAATATGTTAATTCAATTTGTGTGCAAGACGTGTAAATAAGGGAAGAATTAGGCAAATAATAAAAAGCACCGAGCTAAATTTATTGCAAAAATTATGAATCAGCTTTTATGACTCCTTTTGTTATGATAACAAAATTAAATTAAAATTTTGAAGTTTTCCCATTTTGTTTGGAGCGCAAATAAATGAAATGATGAGAGTGGCATTAAATAAATGTATTTGAATAAAAACCACAAGGGCTTTGTTTTAAATCAGTGAACAGTTTTTAGTAAAAAATAGTAAATTAATTGCTTTCAATAAATTGGCATCACATGATAAAGCATCCGTCAGACGCAAATAAAACTGCGGATCGATTTATGTTTAGCCGATAGCAAATACCTAATTTCTCGTTTGCGTCTGTTAAAGACTAGTAGATTCTTATCTAAATCGAATTCGACAAAAAATACTAATAGCTTTCGCTCAACTTTGCATTGCATTGTAATGGGGTATTGAAGTAGCATCGCATTCGTGCAAAATACAATTCGACTTTTTCATTCGCCTCACAAAGAAAACAATTCCTGAAAATATGTTAGTAAACCGCATTTCACTCCTCTAAATCATAAACTGGCACTATTGCACCATAAATCGGCGCTCGGGAGATCCACAAACGCAATGTAAGCAAATTTATGCAGTAATGATCGTCTGAACTCACGCTGAGCAGTCTTTAGTGTCTTGTTATTATTACGACTCATACTGGAACCTTCTCGTAAATTCCAATTCGGAGCAAAAAACTTTCGAAAATAAGAGATTTATTTGGTGTCGACATTTCTCGCACCGAAAATTTTCCCTCGAATTACTTATGATGGACTGAAGCCGAGCATATCCAATATTTGCCTAATAACTCACCTGTCAATTAAGAGACCTACCTGAATTAGCTCCGTTCTAATTGTATCAACCTCCAACGTGCGCACCTCTGCAACAACGAATGCAAATTTAATGTTTAGCGTAACGAAGTTCCATGTGATTAAAAATCTTGGATGCAAGCTCTAGTTTGGTTAAGATCTTATTAAATTGCTAATGAAAAGTGACAATGTTAAGCATAATGTCGGGATTTATTTGCAAAGATCATGTCCGAAATTAAATTTCAGATATCATTGCTTCTGATTTTGTCGCGGCCTGAGCTGCAGCTGCTGTAACAATAAAAATTTAATAACGGAAGGAAATTAGTGGCATTTAGAAAAGACTTTGTGGTTTTAATGTTTGTTTAAGTTTGCAGATGGCTTTACAGCTTTGTCGTACAGATAGGGATAACAAGAGTTTTAAAAACTGCATTAAAAACAATTTTTGTTTGTGTACAAATAAGATGCAACTTTAAAGTTTAAGTGTTTCTGTTAGTGAAACTATCTGTTTTTATTTTAGAACAAACCTTTGTTTAATTCAAGAGTGTTGTTACGCCCTGTCTTTAATATAATTTCACATTTTGGCGGAGGCGCCGGCAAACGAGGCTCAGGGCAAACAATAATTTATTAGATACACAGTAAATTCTGTACT